GTGCCTGAGTCAGGCAGATCTATTGATCCATGAGCGAGGCCACTCGGGAGCAGCATCGAAGCGACGACGGGTCCTGCAGAGAATGTAAGCAGAACCGGCGCAGCGTCGGTCATCATCATACACGTTATCTAGAGGTGGGGAACACCTCAGCTACTGTGCCGCAATAAACAGAAAAAAGGAGAAAAAGCAACTGGTGCAAGCCGGCTGAGCTACCGGTAACGGATGGGCATCGTTCCGGTTAGCTATCAGCCGGCTATTATGCATCAAAAAAATCACTATGCAAGATTATATAAAGTTAAATAATGAGATCGTGGTTGGAGGGGGAGGCTAAAAGGGATGGGATGGGACAAAGAAACTCACAGCACGAACGCCAATGAGGTCGGCTCCTAGCCATATCAGCAAGTGTGTCCAACCAAACGTGTTCATCGTCTTTCAGACCCCAACCAGGGATCCGAGACGCTCCAACCGAGGCCAGCTCAGAAGTGAGGGCCTTCATTCCTCTGGACCAAGTCATCGCTTGGCCACCCCTCCTCTTCTTCCATCCACACCCCCGGCGCGCAAACAACACACGTCGCGGAAGTCGGTGGGCTGGCATGCGTAACACGTGGCCGAGCCATCGGAGCCTGGTGCGTGAAATAACGGTGCTGAGCGATTCAGTTCGTTTTCCTGTGCCATAAACAAGGCGTCGGACACGCTCGTTGCTCACGCGGTGTTCCCACCAGATGTGAACTAAATTACGAAGGCACCGGTGGTCGAACGTAACTAGCCTCTTCAGGTCTGCTGCTTTAAGCGGCCAGGTTTCACAACCGTACAGTAGGGTCGAACGTACCGCTGCATTGTACACTCTACCCTTCAGGGGAAGAGTGATGTCGCGCAGGCGCCATAAGTGGCGAAGGTTAGCAAAAGCGCCCCAAACTTTTGCTATACGGTTCGTGATCTCATCTTCAAACCCACGGGCGTTGATACAACTTCCCAGGTAGTTGAATTTTTGAACGACTTCTAGCTGATCCCCAACAACGGTCAGCGTAGGGGGCGGTCCAGACCAATCTTGGAGGAACGCTTTGCACTTCGATGGTGCAAAGCAAAGCCCGAAGCGGCTGACAGCCAGTGCTAATCTGTCCAGTGCCGCTTCGCACATTTGTGAGCTGTCCAAGATTAGGGCAATATCATCAGCATACTCTAAGTCAAGAAGTCTTTCTCCTGGAAGTGGCTCCACACCTTCTAAGTCGTGTCCTGTGAACGCGATTTCCATGACTCCGTCAACAGCGAAGTTGAAGAGGAAAGGTGACAGCGGGCATCCTTGTCTCACGCCGCTGGAGATATTAAAGGGCGACAACTTGCCGTAGACTCTCACTCTGCCCGAGCTACGAGCATATCATACTCGGATAATATTCACATCTTTCTCGGGCACACCTCTCCTGAGTAGACAGTCCCAAAGTGCATGTCTATCCACCGAATCGAATGCACCTTTGATATCGAGGAAAACGACAATAGTGGGCCGCCAATATATGTGACGGTGCTCCAACAACTGACGCAACGTGAAGATATGGTCAATGCAGCCACGACCTCGACAAAATCCAGCTTGCTCTTCACGAATCCGGCTTTCACGAGTGCCAGTCAGTCTGTGAAGGATGACAGAGGCGAGCAATTTGGAGGCGATGGAGATCAGACTGATTCCTCTATGGCTGCCGCATTCCGATCGTGAGCCTCCTTTGAAAATTGGGACTATGACAGAGCGGCTCCAATCGGTTGGGACAGTTTCCTGCTTCCACAGTCTGACTAGTAACTCGTGTAAACCATCCACAAGTGCAGGTCCCCAGAATTTGAAGGGAGCTGGAGGAAGATCATCAGGTCCCGCGGCTTTATTTAACTTCAACAGTCCGATCTCACGTTCGACTTCTGAGCGAGAGGGTGGATCCAAAGGAACAGCCCAGAGAGTGCGGCGATCAGTGGCCGGCGAGAAATCTAACCATTCCGAACGATTAAATTGCTTTTCAAAGTGCTCAGCCCAACGCTCTAAGCGTTTTGATAAATTGTAGATAAGCTGTCCACTCTCGTCACGTATAGTTTCACTAACACCAGGTCTCTTGCTGCCAGTTTCCCGTATCAGACGGAATAACCTACGATGGTTACCAAGGGCAGCGGCCATTTCCATCTCTGTTGCACGATTAGACCACCAGGATTCGCGGTCTCTCTTCAGGCTAGCACGGAGTTTCGCCCGGAGCTCTTTGCGAGTTTCATTGTGTTCGCTTCCAGCCGGAATATGCCGGCGACCGTCGATAAGTTCCAGAGATTGTGAAGAGACCCAATGTCAATGTTGGCGATTAGACCCAACACATGAGGATTTTCCTGCTGCTAGTAAGGCCTGTTGCATATGAGACCAGTGAGCTTCAATTGCATCCAGTGAGCGTTTATCCAACTCGTATGACAGCGTACTTTGATACGATTCAGAACAGCTGGCTTCGCCAGTTGGCTGGTGTCAATGCGCTCACAACGTCGTCGCGGGCGTCGGCCAAAACGCATCCGAATGTCAGCACATACAAGTGCATGGTCGGTGTCCACACCTGTGCTCCAAATCGAGCGACAGTTTTGGACGCAGCCTCTTCATCGGTAACTTATCGCAATGTGATCGATTTGCGTCCATAGCTGCTTCGAGGCTGGTGGGCGCCAAGTCACCCTCCGGCGGGTGCTGTGTCTGAAATTAGTGCTCGCAAGAAATAAGCGAGCATCCTCACACAAATGAAGTAACCGCTCACTGTTATCATTACGGGAGCCTATACCATGTTGGCCGCCCAGATGCAGCTCATCTGTGGATAATTTTCCAACTTGAGCGTTCAGATCCCTGGCCAGCACTACAGTGTCCGAGCTTCTTCTGTGACTAAGGAGCTCGTTCAGTTGACGATAGAAGTCGTCTTTTACCGAGTCATCGCCACAGTTTGTCGGTGCATAGGCAGCGATAACGAATAGACACCTGTTAGTCCCACACGACTTCGAAGTTTTGAACGAGCCAGCCAATCGGACCGCACACATCCGGCTCCTGATTGGAATCCAATCAACCAGAGTAGTTTCAGCCCGGGGACTCAGGGCAATACCAACACCGGCTTGGCCGGTGTTCAAGCTGCATCGTCACCGGATAGGCGCAACGAGAAAGTGCTGCTAGTGTCACCTGAATGGGATTGCAGAGTGATCACAGAGCTGGAGTCTTGCAGGCGGGTCTCTGATAAGCAGCAGATATCGATCGATAGGGTCTCTAATGTTCGAGCAAGTGCTGCCTGTTGACCGATCTGAAGCAATGTGCGAACATTGAGGCATGCCAATCTGAAGGAGGATCGAAGGCTCCAAATGGAAGCCGATGAACTAGAATGGGCCGCTTGCTTGGACATGGGCCTGTTGACAGGGCAGGTATGACGCTCCGCGTTCACATGTGAGTTGAAACTAAAAGGCAAGCGACTATTGAAGCAAGGTGGGGGAGGGCCGAGAATTGGGGGGTTGAAAACAGGGGGGATAAAAGAGAAGCTGGAACGGAACGATAAGGGCGAAAAAGCGCAAGAGAGGGAATAAGAAGACGGGAAGGATTGAGCAGTAGCACCCAAACCCCTATCCACCCTGCCCGATGCAGCAGATAGGGCACCGTTGATTATCCTCTGCGGTGGCCAGAACATCAGAAATTTGAAGTGTGATTCATTGTATTGCGAGGGCAGGATACTGTCAGGTTGCCCAGGCCTAGACAGGAGAACGATTAGGGTTCTCAACCAAAGCCTTTGGTTCAAAAACCTGACCGCAAGGCAGCGGGTTTGGCACTGGGCTACAAGGAGTCCGTTTTAAGGTATAAGGAGCCACCCTCATTCCAACCCCCAACCTGGAGGACCAGGAGGCTGAGTTTGTCTAGCCTCTAACCATTGACCAACCTGGTATGAGTGGCTCTGAAGGTGCAAAAATGCACCACCCAGTATATATATATATATATATATATATATATATATATATATATATATATATATATATATTTGCAACAGTCTATGAATAGACATTGCACCATCGGAAACCATGGAACTCAAAACAAGGTACAGAAATAGTAAAAGAAAACACAACACAACACAACAATGTCCACGGTTTCGTCAGAGGGCTAAATACTACCCGGTTGCCCAAGCCGAAGTAGGGTGTTGACTTAGGGGACACCACCCCGAACCTTTGGCTGAATAGCCTGTCCGCAAGGCAGCGGAGCGAATTCAGGGAATCGCGCCCATTGGGAGCCGGTGACTGATTGATCAGTTCATACGCCTTTCGTTTGTTCCTTTGCCAAACAGGGGCCCAATGCTCCCCGAAATTACAGCATCAACTTGCTGGAATACAATGCTTCGCCAGGATGAAGCAAGGGACAGTGACTTTATTTAGTGGCGAGTCACGTCCGCCACGTCACAGTGTTGTTAAACGGACATATGTGGCTTTTTATAGGGAGAACGCTTGCCAGGCGAAAACCCACCACGTCCTGGAACACTGCCGCCGAAAAAACTAAAAGAAAAAAAAAAAGAAAAAAAAAAAAAAAAAAAAACACTATTTTGTCAAAATAAGGAGGCAAAAAAAAAAAAAAACCCGGAAACAATAAAGTACATGATTTTCCCCGCTTACTTCCCACCCCCGCAGATACCCCCCAATACAACCTCACCCAGCCCCCCCCCAGCACATACCTAATACCATACAAAATCAACATCCCCTAAAATCTCCCCTTAACCCCCCCCTCCCAACTCCTCCCCCACCCCCAGCCCCCCCACCCCCTCCCCCCGCCCCGATCAAAGCGTGCTGACTCCCCACCCCCCCACCCCCCCCCCCCTACTCCCCCCCCCCTCCCACCCCCCCATCTAATGCTCCGACCAAATGCCCTCCCGCTCCCCCCAACCCTCTATCCAACCCCCCCACCCCCACCCCCCACAAACACCAACAATAAGACCCCCCCCCGCCCCACAAAACCCACACAACAACACCACCACCTCCCAACACATCTAACCCCTGCCCCCCCCCCATTTCCCACCCCCTTCCAGAGTATGCCCCCCCACCCCCCCGCCCCCATTAAATTGACCAACCCCCCCCCTCCCACCCCCCACTACTCTCCTCCCCACCCCCCCCCCCACCCCCCCCCCCCCCCCCACCCTAACCCTCCCCCAAACTCCCCCTCCCCCCCCCATACCCCCTGCCCACCACCAAACCCCCCCCTGAGATCCCCACCCCCCCCCCCCTCCCACCTCCCCCCCCCCCACCCCCCCCCCTCCCTCCCCCCCCCCCACCTCCCCCCTCCCCACCTACCCCCATCCCTCCACGTCCCCTCCTCCCCCCCTCCCCACCCCCACCCCCCCCCCCACTACCCCCTCCCCACGTCCCCCCGCCACCTCCCCCCACCCGACCTTCCCCTGAGTCCCCCCCCCCACCCCCCCCCCTGTCCCCCTTCCCCCCCCCCCTTCCCCCTGTTAAAACACCCCACTTCCACCCCCCCCCCCCCCCCCCCCCCCCCCCCCCCCCGTCTACCCCCCCCCCATCCACCCTCCCTAACCCCCCACCCCCCCATACCTATTCCCCCCCCCCCTATCCCCCAATTCCCCCCCCCCCCCCCCCCCCCCCCCCCCCACCCACCTCCCTCCCCGCTGTTTCCCCCCCCCTCTCCCCACCCATCCCCCACCCCCCCCCCAGCCCCCACCCCCCCCCTCCCCCCCCCCAAGCGATAGACAATCCCCCCACCCTCCTCCCAAGCCCCCCATGCCCCCCCCCCCCCCCCGCCAAGAATAAAATCTCAACCCCCTAGCCCCCCCCCCCCTCCCACCACCCCCCCCCAAATCCCCACGGCGCTCCCCCATTATAACCCACCCCCGCCCCCCCCCAAAACTTCCTCAACGGCCCCCCCCCCCCTACCCCCACTACCCACCCCCCCCCCCCCCACTTACCCAATAGCTTTCCACCCCAACAGTCACACCCCCCCCCCACAAACCCCTAAGGAAGCCCCCCCTCCCCCCCCCCACCCCCCCCCCAACCTCCCCCGACCCCCCCCCGCCAACTGTTATACCACCCTCCTCCCCCCTCCCCCCCCGCCCGCCCCCCCTTCGTCCCTTACCGCCCCCCTCCGTCCTTACCACCCACCCCAACCACACCCCCCCCCCCAAGACCAAAACCCACAGTCACCCCTTGCTCAAATAATACTTAACCAACCCCTCAAACCCTCCCCCATCCCCCCGCCCCAACTCCTACCAACCCTGAAGAGGACCCCACTTACCACCCCCCCCCCCCCCCCCCCACCGCTCCGTCCTCCTCACCCCCCCCAGTGAGCTGAGTACCCCCCAAAATTTAATTCTATAAATCCCCCTCTGCTATTTCCAAATATACAAGTCCTCCCCCCTTCCCCCCCTCCCACCCCCTCCCCCCCGCCCCCCCCCCCCCCCCACCGCCCCCCCCCCCAATGCAAACCCCCGTGATCCCCCCCCCCCCCCCCCCCCCTCCCCCCCCCGCCTCCCCTATGTCCTCCTCCCCCCCCCCCCCCCCCCCCACCCCCCCTCCCCTACCCCCCCCCCTCCCCCCCCCCCCCCCCCAAAGACCCCCCCCCCCGTGATGTACCATTTGAAACCACCTGTTACCTATCCCCCATAATACCCCCATAAGCCCCCCTCCTCCCCCACCCTCCCCCACCCCCCTCAGATGTCCCCCATGCCCCCCCCCGCCCCCCCCGCCCTCATAAGCCCCAGCCCCCCCCCCCCCTCTCCCCCACCCCCTCCCCCACCCCCTCCCCCCCTACCCCCACCCACCCCCCCCCCTCCCCCCCCACCCCCCCCTATCCCCCCCCCCCCCCCCCCCCCCGCCACCCCCACATTAATCATTCCCAATTAGGAGACCCCCCCTACCCCCCAACCCCTTCGCTCGCCCCCCCCCCCCTCCCGCCCCCCGCCCTCCCCGGTGTCTCCCCAATGAAACCTGGACCCCCAATAACCCCTAGCCTCCTCGTCCCCCCCCCCCTCCCCCCCCCCGCCCCCCCCCCCACGACCAACGCCCCCCTCCCCCCCGTCCCACAGATTCCCCGCCCCCCGCGCCCCCCCCCCCCCCCCTTCCCCTTCCCTCCCCCGCCCCCCCGGTAGGCATACGAGCCCCATGGGACCAAGTGTCCCCCCCCCCCCCCACCCCCCCCGCCCCCCACCCCGCCACCACGCCCTTTTTCCCCCCCCCCAGTGCTGCCCCCGACCTCAAGCAGCCCCTCCTAGAACAACTGACCCAACCCCCCCCCCCCTCCCCGCTAGCTACCCCCGCCCCCCGGCGACACCATCCCCCCCCCCGCCTTGGTCCCCCCCCCCATGAATCCCACCCCCCCCTGACCCCCCCCCCCGACCCATCCCCCCGATACCCCCCGTCTCCTCCCACCTTCCCGCCCCCCCCCGCCCCCCCCCCCCACCCCCCCTCCCCCCCGTCCCCCCCCCCCCCCCCCCCCCTAACCTCCCTCCCCCGCCCCCTCCTGAACCCGATCATAAATTGAAATCCCCCCCACCCCCTTACAAGCCCCTCCCCCCCCCAGAAATCCAACCCCCCCCCCCCCCACCCCCGATGACCCTTACCCCCCACCCCCCCCCCCCCCCCCTCCCGCCGTTCCTCCCTCCCCCACAGCCTTTCCCCACCCCCCATAGCCACCCCTGTGCCCTGCACATCCTCCGGCCCCCCCCCCCCCCCCTCCTGCCCCCCTGCCCCACACCCCCCCCCCCCCACCACCCCCCCCCCCGCCCTCCTCACCCCCCCCGTTCCCCCCCCCCCGCCCCCCCTCCCCCCCCCCCCTACCGCGTTACCCCCCCCATATACCGAATCCCCCTATCTTTATCCCCGCCCGCCCCATTACAAGCCCCCCCACCCCACTCGGGAGCACCTTTATAACACCTCCCCCCCCCTTATAGACCCAGACCCCACATAACCCCATCAACGGTAAACCCACCCCCCCCCCACCCCTCTTCCGTCCACCCCCCCCCCCCCCCCCCCCCCCCTGCCCCGCCCCTCATCATCCCAGCCCCCCCGCTCCCCCATTACATCCACGATGGAATAACTGCCGCCACAACCTAACCACCTTCCCCCCCCCCCAGTAATATCCCCTCTGGACCTGTCCATCCCGCCCCGCCCAGCCCCCCCCCTCCATGCCCCCCCCAGCTTCCCAAGCTTCCCCTGTCCGCTCCCCCCCCTCACCTCCTCCCCCCCTTCCTTCCCCCCCCACCCCCCCCTCCCCCCACCCCCCCCCCCCTACCCACCCCCCCCTCCCCTCCCCCCCCCACCGCCCCCCCCTCCCCCCAGACCCCCCCCCTACCCCCCCCCCCCGGCCCCCCCCCTATCCTCGGAAACACCCCCCGACCCCCCCCCCCCCCCCCCCACCTAAACCCCCCCTCCCCCCCTCCCCCCCCCCCCTTTGCCCCCCCCGCCCCCCCCACCCCACCCTCCCACCCCCACCCAAGCCACCAACCGCCCAGCCTCCTCCCCCCCCACATTCTCCGGCACCCCCCCACCCCCCCCCCTGCCACACAACTCCCCCCTCCTCTCCT